TTCCACATCACCATATTTGAACGCCGAGATGAAGCACTTCTCGGCGTTACGAAGGCGACCCATTTTCTGATAGACATCACCAAGTGCAACCAGCATTCGAGAGTCTTGGGGCCTAAATTAGTGGGAAACATATTCAAAGCCTCGTAGGAATCCAAGAAAAGCTCTCACTTGCAAAGATGAGCCTGTTGGTAGTAGAATAACGAGTAGGTAGGCATCTTGATAATGTCATACATCTGGCCAAGGCCATACCACCCACGGTAGTCTTGTGGGTCCACTTCTGAATATCATTTCTATTGAAAAATAAGGAAATAAAAAATAGGACGCCTGATTTATAAGCCAAGGTAGCCCGGAATTCAGAGCGTTGACACTCACCGATCGCTCTTCTGTAGGACATACAAGCGGCGGCATTGTTCTTGAGTTCCATGAACTCATGACCTACGAGGAACCCAGATGGACGCAACGCCGGGGTTCAATCGAAGGGCGCGCTGGAAAAACCGAATCGCTTGTTCGTTCTCGCGGCGAAGACCGTAATAATTACCTTAAAGATAGTGCTTTGCTTTGTGAAATCTTAGTAGAATGGCTAGTTCTCAGACAGCGTTTAGACTCCGCGAATGACGCGCGTCGACGCACTACCATCGCAACAGCGCTCCACTGCTAATGAGAGCACCAAACTGCGTGATCAGGCAATGCGCACATTACTACTCTCGCATACCCTCCCAAAATAGCAGCGGACGACGCTAATCGATATCCATGCACGTCCGTATTACCGCCCGTAGCATTGGCGCGCGGTTGCAGTGGTGGCGCGTCGCACGTGGTCGCGAAGTCTGAACGATGTCTTAAATACTCATTCCGCGGTAACCAGATGGGCGGAGACATGCAGATACTCTTGCAATTTGACGGCTCCCCCATATGCTCATCACGACAATGCGCGTTCTAGTAATGGAAACGCAAAAGCGGCGCAGTCTGACGACGGGGGGGGCATTTTGTACTATCTTCACTAGTTCCGGTTTACAAGTCTCACTCTGGCGAAACCTGTGAACTCTTGTGAAGCTGGAGCAAGCTCATCAGCCATCATGGTAAAACCTGTCAACTCGCCTAGATAGGTCGACACTTTGCTGGGTGTAGCAAAATGCCTCCTCCCGCCGCCCTCAAACTGCACCAGGAAACGCTTATGGATCTCCATCCAGGTATCTCGACGATTTTCAAGAAGTACTAGAATAATTTGCTGAGAATAAGTCATGTAGCCATTTCCACTGCTCTAGAAGCGAATCTTGCTGCGACAAAAAGGGAAAACTAACCTACGATACAACACGTCTCAAACGAATACTTATGGGTTTCGAAGAAAGAGTGAGCCAAATCACACAGTTGAACACGATCACCCTGCAAGTGCTCATATCTGCATCATTTCGTAAACTAGTCAAGTGATCAAAATCCTTACACGAATATACAAGGAATCCGAATATAAGTTCATCTGTTCGATTCTGAGGGGATCCATGGATCGGATACGTTAGGTCTTCAACATTTATTGAATACTTGAATACTGTAGGGGGGAGGCAGGAAATGTTACTAGATAAGTCTCATGGACTTTGGTCGTCTTCGCTCTTTCAAGGCTAAGCCTAGACAGTACAGAGGATAACCACGTAGAAGGCTTGTGGTGTGCACTGACTAGCAACCTTGATAGAGACGATGACTAAGGTGCCAGTGTCTCCGACTGTGATCGCGACCTTTGGTGCGGGTCTCCTTATCACGCTCACCTTTGCGACATTTTGCAGAATTATGATGTTTTTCATTTCCCATCTTTCTAACTGCACCTGGAAGCTTTCGTCACTGTGAGGAAACTCACCTCATTTCGCGTAAGCCTCGTCCTTTCCTGTTAAGTGCACAAAAATCGGCAGCAGAGTCTCGCCTGTCGGATCGAATCAAAAGACACATGCAATTTGGTGCAGAGAGTGTGTTAAATTTAACTCGAAAAGTGGTGACTTTGGGTGCAGTTCGGCTTGGTGGGGGCATTTTGCTTTCGTTCCCGTCGATCAATGCCGATCGCTGAAATGAGGCTTGTGAAATCCGGAAGAGCTATACGCTAGCATACACTTCCTTTACACATTGGTAAGAGTTCAAAGTGTTACCAAGGCGAGACGGGTAATTGGGGAGAAACAGCGAATTTTATGTAAATACACAGGAAATACTGGATGCAATATCTTCTGCAAAGAAAGAGATTAGCCGGTGGTCGCA